ACATATTTAGAGAATGTTGTGTAGCTGGCTTGGGAAAGGGAACATGTTCCAAATGGACGACAAGGTTTGCTAATTAGCAAGCTTGGTGTAGAATTATGCATAATTGCCATAATGTAGAATTATGCATAATTTCGTTGTCCTTAAATTCTTCTGAACACGTTTTGCCTGAGGGGTTCAAATATAGTTGATTTTATTTGCAACGAGAAAACACTCTTGATTAAAGAAACTTACAATTGCCTGGATGAAATTGTTCATCACCTTTGCCAAGTTAATAGAAAATGAATCCTTCACATTTTGGTTTGCAATAAGAAAGTCTAACACGGGACCAGGCGGAATTATCATGGTTGTAGATATATCTGAAAACAAAAAAGGGATAACATCATAGTTAACAAGTGCAACGAAATTATTGAACGGGAAAGTAATTTTATTAAAATTAGCAAATGAAGAAAAATATTGTAAACAAAGTATTACCTATGTTCAAAGACAAGTCTCCGTGAGAAGTTCGAAAACTCGAGTGGAATCTTCGACATCCAAGAATCAATGAAGTTCATCGGATTATTGTCAAAGAAAAATTGATGAACCAACAGGCAACCACTGACATTGAACATGTGGTTAAATGCATATCATGTCTTAATGACTTCCAAGTAATTGTGTGCTAGATAGTTGCACAGTTATTTATTTGTCAAATGTGTAATTACTTCTTTTATTATTTAACTTGCTCTTTCAAAAAGTAAGTTGCTTATTTTACTATAAGAACTTGACCCATGACTTACTTTCGAGAAAAAGTAACATTTTACCACACTTAGGCACAGTCTAATTCATCGAAAAAGTAGAAATTACACCACATACATCAGTGGGCAACTTAAATAATACTCTTAAAATTATGGGTAATTTAAATAATCATATAAAAAGTATTTTGAAAGTAAAAAATACGATATAAAATTAATTGTCACTTTTTACATTAAAAAAAATGACACAACGTCGCTTTTTAAAATTATTAGATGTCACTTTTTTAATTAAAAATTGACATACAATGTCACATTTTAAAGTGATGTTGTCCCTAAAAAAAGTGATATAAATTTCAAGAAAGTAACAGAAAAAAGTGATAAACACTAAAAAAAAAAAAGTGATACAACTTCCAAAAAACAGGTAATGAACTCAAAAAAAGTAACAGGAAATAACAAGAAGTTACAAATATTACAAAAAAAGTGATCGCCCTTAAACACTCAACAGGGCGATCATCCACTAATAGAGTGGGTGATTGCACAATGTAAAACCAATGACATTGTATCACTTTGTTAAAAAAGTGACATTATATCACCTTCTGTTAAAAAAGTGACGTTATATTTTGTTGAAGCACCAATTAATTAAAACATTGCAATAGGTTGAATAAAGTGATAGAAAATTGGAAAAAAAGAAAGTGACCTATACTTATCTATCAATCGAAGAGAGACCAAGTCAGCTTGCTATACTTTTCGTGCCACTTCGTTGGCTTGTTCTAGGCGGACCAAATGCACTGGTCTTTCCCCAATCTTTGTTTTTAGGATAAGATTTCTCCTATTAGTTCATCAACAAGTACAAGATTTTCCCATTAACCCCAACTCCAACAAATATGCTACAACTCTCCACCAAATAAGTTCTTATTCTCTCTCCAAAAAGTGATTTTTCTCTCTCCAAAAAGAAAGGAAGAAGAAGAAACAGACAAACTCTCACCCTTGTAATATACATCAAATCAAATCATCCAAAGAGCGAGACACACTTCCAACAAACGGCCTCAGCCGCTCTGCTCATTAACAAACCCACACAAATAGATACAGAATTGTTGCATTTGTAAATGAAGTGTAAGAATCACGCAGCCGATCTCAGTAGCGCCGTCGGAGTTTGCGCCTCCTGTTTACAAGAACGTCTAGTTGCACTTATCGCTGCCCAGGCCGAAAAAGAGGCCCAAGAAGGTCGCCGGAATTTCGATACCCAACCGGCCCCTCCTGCCTTTCCCCGGTCTGTATCGCCTTATGTATCTCGCCGGAAATTCGACGACGCTACCACATGGCACCTGCGTTGTAGCAGTCCCCAGGTGGCTCCTGCCAGCTCGGTAACAGTTGAAGTCAAGAAGAATAGCGGTGGAAGATTTTCTTTGCTTTTTTCGGGTCTTTTTAGATCGAAAACGGAGCAACTGGATTCGGATTCTGGTCCGATTTCGGATCCTGGTGTTGCGGGTACAGCATCTTCTCCTACAATTCTTCCTGCCCGGCGGAAAAAGCAAAGTCGCACGCTTTCCCTTGATAATAACGTAATCGAAGGCCACCGGAGGAACTACGGCAATCACAACCGTGGAATGTCGCCGGCTAGGTATTCCGACGAGGACGAGTCGCATTTTCCTGGTGGATTGAGTGGATGCTCTTCGGAGTCTTCCCAAGGTTGGAAGCAGACGCCGCGTAGGACCCCAGCGATGCGACGTCGCGGAGGGTTTCCAGGGCACTGTAGAAATATATCAGGTCTTGCATTTTGCTTGAGTCCTTTAGTCCGTGCAGGCCCAAATTTGCACTTGCATCAGAAGGGGTCTCCACAGGTTACAGTGGTCGCCGGCGACAGTCGGATCCCGGCGAAGCCATATCTTTCTAATTCGTCGGCGTTTTGCAAGAACAGGTCCCGAAAGCTCTGCCGTTTCGGGAGGTTCAATCCGAACAATTAATAATTCGATGACCATTGACATTTGACCGCACCTCATGGACGTTAACGACACTCCCCTTCCCGGCCCCACGCTACTGAAACTACTGTTTCGCCCCTGGCTCAGTCACTAGATTCATGACCATAGTTTTCATTTTTAAGCTTTGTGTGTATTGTGCATACATACTTCCATTAAGCGAGAGATCATCATTTTTTTTTTCTCCTACAAAGTAAAGTAAAACTCTGTTTGAGCCCTATTTGTTGTAAAAAATGAGTCTTGCAATAGTTCGAGTATGAATAGTTTAAATGTAGAGAAATTTTTTAGGTTTATATGTATAATTATTTTATCTTTTAGGTTGATATGTATAATTATTAAATGAGTTTCTATATTTATACATATAATAATTTTTTTATGAAATTATGTATATAATGTGAAAATGTTAAATAAGGGTTTATTGTTCTTATTTTTCCATTTTGAAATTGGTATTTCTTTTCTTTCTCAAGCATGGAAAAGAACTTTGTGATTGTCCTTGAACAATGTAGCTTTAAAATTACTTTCTTGAAAACATTATTAAAAAAAAAAAAAAACCTATTAGTCTAATGGTGAAACTTTATAAGAAAAATATTGACTAATTCTAATATTATATAATAACTCACACAAAATTATTTTTAAAACTTCAAGAAGATCATGTTTATTACTGTAGATTTCAATGGAACATTTTCGAACTATATATTTTTATAATCTACTCTTCTTCAAATGCATTCAGTTGTTTTATGAAAATATAATTGCAATCTTTATTTAGGAAAAAAAAAATTCAAGGTATGACAACAAAAATATACATTGACAATTAACGAGACGGAAAAAGTTAATATTTTTCAAATTAAACTGACGACCTGACTCATTCCGTTGATCAAGTAATAAATCTAACCTCGTTTTTGTTAGTGTTTTCGACGATAATGTATTCATCTGCGATGTTTCTAGTAGACATAACAAAAAAAGTCATGTTAGTTTAGGAGATATCGTACAAATATAATATCATACACTACATGTGTTTATCAAGAATATGATTGTGTTTGATGCCAATACAATGCAGCGATATATGATAATTATATTTAACACTTCAAAATTTGCTTAATATTGAAAATTGGGTAAATATGAAAAAGAAATTCTCAAATGATTTTATTTAATATAAAAATCAGCCATAGACCAATACAAATGGCTGTCATTTAAGTTTCAACAAAATCCTAATTGCCAATGTTCAATATAATTGTACCTCTGGTAATGTCCCATCATCTCTCCTAAAAGTAATTATTAAATCATAGTTTAATAAATAATAAACAAATGTAAACAAAAATATAAATTTTCAAGTCAAAGATGAGTTACAGTGATGGAAGGAGATTTGACATATAGATGTCCAGCCAATGATGGCTCCACAAAATTCATAAATGTGAATAAAAAATAATACATATTTTCATGAATATTATGAGACAATAATATTGTCTAGCTGTGCCGCCCATAGGGCACCCCTAAACGAATGTACATATACAATTAAAATGATTCGTTGTAGTAGATAAGTCTCAAATAGAAATTTTATATAATTAAATTCATGATATTAGAAATAAAATTGAAATGCGGACCAAGCTTAATAAATCACCAAAAAAAAAAAAAAAAAAAACACTTATAAATTTATAAATAGCTTATATTCATCATTTAGATGGCCATTACTAAAAGAATTTAAAAATAAAAATAGAGAGAAAAATGAATTACATTATCTTTTTAGTATAATAAAAAATTTCTTCAAAAACCATAACAACCATTTTTTATTCTTTTTGGTAGAATTTGTCTCACACAAATCAACTTATCCAAAACTCAAATGCTCAATATAAATACATTCACATACATAAACATTAGTTAAACTATTTTCAAGTTTTGAGAAACTCTAGCTATAACAAATTACTTTCATTGACAACAATTCTAGAATGAGAAATGTTGATTTTAATTATGCTTATTACATAGTGTATGTACTAACACAAGCAATCCGGCAACTCCCCTTTCATTTATTCACATTAATTATTAATTATAAACATACACATCTCTTAATCCCTTTCACATGCTCTCGATTAGTAGGAAATAAAAAAATGCAACCTCAGCAGACTTTCTCCATCTTCTTTAGTCGTACATTCTTTTCTGTATACTTGAATTTTTAGGCCCCTTTTGGAAGAGATTTTAAAAATTGGTGTTTTGATCACTATGAGAAAAGTGGGAGCCACTGTGAGAGAAGGGTCAAACTTTACGGCTGAAATAGTAACATAACGGTCAAAAATCAATTTTTTAGGAGTGGAAAATCACTTCCAAACACCTCCCTTAATCTGTTAATGTTGTGTGTGGATGGTTTAAAATTTTAACATATATTATAATGTTATAATGATAAAAATATATCGAAAAATATTTGAGAACTTAAATGTGAGAATGACTAAGGATTATAAATATTTATTGTAGTTACAATTTGTATAGTTAAAAAATTTTGAAATGGGAATATAATTACTATGTATTTGATATTCTTTTTTTTTTTTTTTTATCTAAACTTAAGTATCATGAGGATTAATATGTAACTACCAATTAAAACAACCTTTAAATAAGGGTAAATATAAGATAAAACAAATTTTGATCAAATTATATAGTAACATTTTGTATACATTACTTTTATTACATTAAATATATTATTTAGTTTGTTAGGATATGTGTGAAAAAACCAAAATGAAACATTCATTTAAATTAGGGAATATGGATGTTATTTTTTATAAACTAATTAATTCAACCGGGGGAAAGAAATTGAAATTATATTTTTATAATATAAACTGTAAATAAAAATTAACATAATATTGAACAGATTAATTTAGGGAATTATAGACAAATAGAAAAGAAAATATATTTTTTTTAAATTTTATATTAAATAAATTCAATTAATGTTATTAATTAATTATTTTCAAAACTAAAATTAAATAAGAGTATATTGGGCATATAACTAAATATTTAAGGAATTAATGTTATCAATTAATTATTAGCAAAATTAAAATTAAATAAGGATATAATAGGTAAACGAGGGTAAATGAAGCTCAATTGTAAGTGAATTTACTAAAATGACCCTTGATTTTATTTGAAATATTCAATGGTCTAGTTATATTTTATCTACAGGCTGGTAGCCGAGCCTGTGACATTGGCCACATTTCAGCTTGCCATACAAGCCAGCTCGAGCCGTCATCCGAAAACGAGGCTTGATTCAAGCCACGAGCCGAGCATTGGCTCGAGCTCTTTATGGGCCGAGCAGAAATTGACATCCCTAAGCGGAAATTAATGGAAAACTAATGTGTTAGTTGAGATTATCTCTTTGTTATGAATTTTATTCACGGAATTCAAAAGTTTATACTGTAATAGTTCCTTTTTTAGAGTTTTGTAAAGATCGATTTAAGAAATGGTGGATTATTTGGTCCTGGTTCCATTTGTTTTAATTCGATTCGTGTGATTTTGCATAAAATTGTTCGCTTTTGGACCCATCTTGGACTCTTGTAAAGAAAATGAGATGTATACTTTCAAGCTGGACCTTACTTCTTCCCAGGAAAAAAGATAAATTTGAGTATTTAGCTTGCTAATTTCTTTTTTCTTTTTGAACAACTGATCAACTTAATTTCTACACAACCATAGCTATCAAAATCCCTTACCAGTCATAGCTATGAATATCAATATGATTTTAAAATTTTAATCACATTGTTCATAACATATAATGTTATAAACTAAATCATTTGTAAAGATTGCCTCCATACAAATTAATTAGAGTACGTTGTTGAAAAATTACAAGAAAAGGGAAAAAGGACAATATATATGTGACAACCACATCCAAATCAAATGCTGTACAAGCTGAGCTCTTATGACTATGACTGCTGGCGTGTTGTCATTACTTACCTCGAAAAAGAAACTTCATTTGCATACAAATAACGATCCAGCATAAATCTAAAGTTCTTATTATCAGATGGTTAAATTGTATTTTCAAATTGAATTGGTTCAAAATTTTCAGATCATTGTCAAGTATAGGGCGGTATGACCCAACTGATGGTCATCTTGATTAATTCAACTTTTTAAGACTTTTGGAACAACTAGAAAATTACAAAAATGAAACGATTCAGTTTGAACAGCAAAGGGTGATTAATCAAGCGTTGGATGATTTGATGCGACCAATTCAACTCCGATGTACAAGCTATAAAGTTAACCTTGAGAAAAGTTCAAAAAATAATCACAATAAATATCAATGTCAACGACACATATTAGACACGAACAATAGTTTGTATAACTAATTTGAATATAATAGTGTAATATAATCAACACTATGCCACTATTTGAGTTTCATTCTATTTTGCTGAAGAGTTCCTTTTCAAAGTCAAATATTAAATTTAACCACATATTTTTTAGGTTTCACAAGTATTCTCCACCTTTTCCATTCTACATCCAGAGTGTCATGTGCTTTGGAAGAAGCTTGTACAGTTTGGGATGGGATTCTGATTGATCAAAAAGAAGAATAACGCTCCTAAGTTGTTCCAAATCGTTCAATTTTATTTTATCTTTACATTTTTTAAATAAATTATGTTTTAGAAAATAAATAAGTAATTAAATAAATAGTAAATAAGAATATTTTAATACTCGACCTCGCCCCTTGAAAATCTTCAATAGGTTTCAAACCCGCACTCAACCTAATTCGTAATTTGAGGCTATACAGGTTGAAGACTTATCTTTGAATACTCTTGGATGTTGAAAATTTTTAGTGTTCGCTTGGTACAAAATTTAAGCCAATTAAAATCAATTCTTTTACTGCTATTTCATTATTTCAGTCATCATTTTTGAATTCTTCTCTCACAAGAAGAACCGAATTTATATCTAACGATCAAAAAATCAATTATCAAAATCCGTACCAAATAAACAATTAATTAGTAAATTCATGTCAACTTCGGATAACGTGGAAGTAATCAATCCACTTGTTTAATACAACAGTAGCTTTCTCTCTTTCTTTCTCTCTTCTTTTTTCTTTTTTCGTCTTTATTAATACACCTGCCAGATAAATATTGATTAATTTTTAAATTCAGAGAGTAAAAATATTTAAGTATTTCAACATAATTTTTTATATTTAATACTTAATTTTACCACTCTAAAAAATATATTATTTTTTATTTTCACTAGCTTTCTTTCAAACTATTAAATTTTTTTCTTCCGTTGAAAATTGAAATATTTTGAATGCATTAAAGTATAGATATTGGATTTGGCACCCCAAATTTGGGGAGTAAAACCCACTCTCTATTTTAAAACATTAATTTAAAAGTTCCATGGAATATAATTTTAATAATTGACCCTTTAAAATAAAAGCTTTTTATGTTTAAAGAGCATTTTGAAAATACTCTAAGCGACATTGGATAATATTATATAATAGGATTGTAAATAAGATTTTAATTTTTTCGTTTCTAACCTGGAGTTGTCTACTTCAACACAACTAAGTCCTTGTGTGAAGTTGAATTTGCGAAAGTCTGTCTTTTTGTTTTTTGTTTTTTTTTTTTTTGGGAGAACATGTTATTCAAAAGTAGCAAAAATTATGAAAACATATCAAAAAATTATTTTGCAATTATCTGGTTAAAAAGATTCTCATATGAAACCAAGTATTAACCAATTATTTACAAGTGTTAGGGAATCTCCAATGGATGTCCTATTGCACCAAAATTTGGTGCAAACTTCTTCCAATCATTGCACCATTGTACCAAATTTCGGTGCAAAATGAATAGTGTTGCATCATATTTGGTGCAATACTATTCATTACACAATCTTTTGCACCAAATTGTACAATGTCCATTTTACCCTTATTTTCATTTTTCAAAAATAATGGTCAAGGGTATTTGGAGCAACACTATTCATGTTGCACAATTTTGCACCAAATGATGCAATATTCATTTTGCCCTTATTTTTCATTTTTCAAAGATAATGATCAAGAGTATTTGTGTCATTTTTGTTCTATAATGATAATGATAATGATGATGATAATAATAATAATAATAATAATAATAATAATAATTACTTAATTAATTACACTATTAATTATATTATTAAATTATACATTTTTTAATAATATAATCATTAATAATTAACGTAATTGTTAATTTAACATAAAGTTTAATTCGTAAAGTTTACATTTAAAGTTTAATTTAACGTAAAGTTTAATTTAATGTAAAGTTTATATTATTAAAGTTTATTATTTTTGTAAATTTAACGTAATTGTTTATCATAAATTAATAATATAATCAATTATTTTTGTCAATTTAACATAATATATAAAACACTTGAATAATTTAGTAATTAATATATTTGTTAATTTAACGAAGTTATGATTTAGTAATTTATATAGTTACAAAATAAATAAATAAATAAATAATTTTTTTAAACAATTACATTGTCAAAAATTGAAAGAATAAATAAAATAATTAAGCACTGTTTATTTGGTGTAAATTTTGGTGGAATGGTTGAAGAAGAATTTTGGTTTAGTGCAAGATTTGATGCAAAATGATGCAAAATTTGGTACAGCGCTGGAAATAACCTTATAAATATTTCATCTTAAAGTTTAATATATTGTCCAAGCTATCAGAGGACAATATGTATATCATTTAAGTTTTGTTCTCAACACGCTCTCACTTATAGGTGGCATTCATTTACTTCCATCAAAGCTTAGTACGTACACAATTTCATTAAATGGGTGAACGAGACTTTATCCAGGACATTTGTATGCTGAGACACCATACTAAACTGAACTACTGGATGTGAAAGCTCAAATGAAGCAAAAAAGACAGAAAGGCACGAAACTAAAAGCATTCATTATGTTTATCAAACAATATCCTATTGAAATTTAGACTTCCACATGATTCACATATAGCTTCAGTGGGGTTTAAAAAAAAATAAAAATAAATAAGAAAAGAAGAACAAAATCGTATGTAGTATATATAACCAAGAAGAAAGCGTTCACAATGAGAGAAAATAATAATCTAAACGCAAAACTTTTGGACCGATCCGCCTATTAATATTATCAGCAACGAGAACTGGTAGAGGCATCATTACCGTCAGCTTGAGTTTTCCTTGCCTTAACATCATCAAGATAGTTCTGATATAAGTAAGAAGCAAAACCCCAAAATGCCATAAGCATCGCTATTATTTTCACACCATTCATCTTGTCATGGAAGACGATAAGAGAAGCAATAGGAGTAATGGCCAAGGAAAGAGTACTAATAACGTTGGAGAAAAGAGAGGAAACTACAAAGATCAAACCTACAACACCGACAGCACAAAGTTGCCATGCTACGGCTGTCCAAACCAAAGTCATGACGTAAGAAAGTTTTCCGGGGGTGAAACCATCCATTTCTCCCCGTAAAGCCTTCCATTCTCCGCTTATGAAAAGGCCTGCAATGGAAACACAAGTAGCCATAGCTGATGTATAAATTTGCATTTCCAGAACCACGGAAAATGTTTCCTTCTTTAGAACCTTCTGGAATGTTAACTGCATGAGGGAAAGCAAAACAGAGTACAGAGCAGAAGCTGCAAGAGTGGCTAGAATCCCCTGGAGATATTTTCCTTTAGGGACTCCTGAAGGTTTATCTGAATCATCATTGACTGCAATGAGAGAAGCAGATAATGAAAGAATAACAACAGAATTAAAAATTAAAGCAGTGAACTTTTGGCGATTGATGAAGTAAGAGGAAATCGCATTGAAGGCCAACTGTGTGGCGCAAATGAGTGAATAAGTAGAGGCAGACAGGTATAATAGCCCAACAGAATACAGCATGTTGTCTCCAGCAATGACACTTCCAATGACAACATAGATTACAGATATGGTAAGAATAGGAGGGTTTGACTCATTTGAAGAGTCATCTGAGGATCGGAGAAAAAAGTATGGAATAGAAAGGATAGGGAAAGCAGCTGTTTGAACTAGGGTGGCCATCCATTTACTATTTCCACCTTTGTCGTAATAAAATCTTCCCAAAAGGACAGCAGCAGCTTGACCAACAAGTAGAAAAATTATGTTAAGAGCCAGTAAGAGCCACCAGTGCAAGCGCTTTTTCTTGGAAAGTGGTAGGTTGCAAGTTGAAGGCCCATTGTTTGACAAAGTGGGCTCTTCATTTACTGCAATGGGAACAACACCAAAAAAAATAAAAATGCATTAGATGGCTTCTGGAAAGGAAAAACATTATGTTCTTATCAGTCAAAGGTTAAAAATTATAATTATTTGAAGCTGCGACAACATCTAGGAATGGAAATAATGGAATCAACTGAAATAACGAGAATCACGACATCACTGTACCCCCTCCATCACATTTTCTTTGTGGGTCAAAATTTCTGTGTTCCAGAAATTGTTCTTATGCTTCAAATTCGTATCGCAGAAGTTTTCGAAAATTCCTACTATATCCTTCACTATTAACATGTAGGAAATTCAATTGCCTAAATTTATAGTAGCACTGCAACGGTCTCCACTAAGATAGGTAACTCTGGAAAAAAATGACTTAAACAAGGTAAGACAGTTGTGCATATACCGTTTTATATAATTACTTTGGAAAGTAAAATGAGTAAAAATGTGACAGAGAAAAAACATATACTTTCCTCCCACGGCATGAGCTCATCTAGTGCATTAAGAAATATATGCCAAAAGGGATATAGTAGCTAATGGATATCAGGATTTGACCAACGAAGAGAACTAAAAGGGACCACAAGATCTCTACTTATTGATCGCAATGATTACACTTACTAGATCTTTAAGTAATATCAAAACATAGTCCATGCTTGTGGCTTACAGTAATGACGCATGTACTTATCGACAAGTTACATTATTAACAAACTCATTGATCAAACTCAATCACTACTATAGGGTTAGACTGAAATGGCATTTAGCCTAATAAATTTTTGGAAGAATTCCTCACCCCTCTTCTTATACTGATCTCTAAAGCTTATATAACGGAATTTATTCCGATAGACTATGAAAGTAGCTCTCTCTCTTAACTCTATCATTAGAAATACTATAGACTTGACATTGAGTTCCCTAGAGTGAAACATATTTCAGGTATTGACACCATAAACAGTAACATGGTAGGATGGCGCATCATGGCAATCCACATTAGCAACTCACAAGCACACTTTTAAATTTTAATGGATAATATTGAATTTACAAACTTCATTTTGAGTTTTCCCTCTACTTCCTTACATTCTGAATAGAGGCATTAGTTAGTGCCTATTAATATACATCCTTATATAATGAGTGAGAGTCCCTGGAAATACTTTCCCCTTCATTCCAGGAAAATTTCATTATAACCCATCTCTAATTTGAGTCCATCTACAAAGATTGATAAGCTTAGCTATGTTTTTGAAATTTGGCCTCTTCCCAAAAAATTTCAATTATTTCTTTCCTATCGCATGTAATAAACACATATAAACGGGAGCCTTGGATCTTTCCGTGTAAATTTCCACCAAGCAGATGGGTACAAAGTCAGTTAACAGCCTGAGTCCAAGCATAGAGCTATACCACAAGCCAGATTCGCACAAGATTTATTCCCCAGATTACTGGGCCGAATTGGCATTCAAAGAATAAATGGAAACAGTTAAGACTTCCAGAATAACTTTCTACATAGTTAAACTTATAACATAATCCAGCAATTTGAACAGATGAACCGAATCTCATAATCTAAAATCAAATGCAAAATAATCTCAAAATGAATAAAATCACACTATTTCGTTGTTAAAATACCACGTGACACATAAATTACTTCAAGGAAACTAGAATATTATATGTTCAAAATGGGAACATTCCAATTTTTAATAACAACATTCATATTTACATAATTCTTTTTTAAGTATCTCAAGATCCATTTCGTAAATTGTAGAAGCTTAGCAAATAGACAATCTGAACCAAGCCATCTTTTGCACGCTATTTACCATACAGCTTTCACAGCTTGTAAGTTGTAACACGAGCTTGTGAGGTTTTTGAAGGTATATTACTCTAAAAAGGGATTAATTAGTTTTCCTCATTACAATTACTGTCCAGCAATTATTTTTTACCCATTAAACATGCTATCCGACAGACAGCCAATTATGGCACTGTCTGTGAAAACGATAAAAGAAAACAAAAATCGCAATCTCTTTGAGAAACGAAATTCGTACAAACAGATAAAGATACATATATAACCATAAACATAGAGAAGTATAAAGAGTAAAATACCTGGCATGTTGAGACTGGAAAATTGGCAAAAGGATTCTACTGAGGGCAAAATTGAATAGGAATTTTTTTTGTTGATAGAAAATAACAGCAATTTGATTATATCTTATTTGATTTCCTCATAATACGGAATATAGTGGAGAATCGAAGAGTTCCAAGAGTTCATAGATTCCTGAAAAATGAGCCGCTGCCTGATCGGTGAATGGTGCTGGCCACGCGTGATGCACCTCATCATGCTACATTGAGACGGAAAAGGGGTCAATTGTTGATGATTTGTTTTGCCTTTTCGGTAGAATGGCTATGGATTTCCCTGCCTATCATATTGGCATTCAAGACTTCGTGCCTGAGCCACAATTTGTGGTTATTAATGCAGTTTGAAATTGGGATAATATCACTCGTACACTTGGAGCAGCCGGCTCGATATACTGTAACATCACCCTTAAAATAGTATATTGATGGAACGCGTATATTTAAAAATTGATAAAAATTTTTGAATTTACATATAATATTATTTTATTGAAAAATTAGTGATTGAAAAGAAGATATAAAAAATGCACTTTCAAAATAACGGAATCAAACAAGGGCTTAACCTTTAAAATTAAGCTTTAAAAGATCCTTTAAATTAACATTCCGATTTTCAATAAAAGAAAATAATATAATAATTTGGAAGCTAGTGAAAACAAAAGATAAAAAATAACAATAATTTTTGGAGTGTTAAATATAAAAAGGTCTATTTGAGTACTTAAAAATGTTTACTTCCTCAATTAAAGTATATGCCCTTAAAAAATAGAGAATCTCTTTGATATGCAAAGTTCAAAGTCATATTTAGATTCGACTTTTACTTGTATTTTTGTATAAGAATATCATAAAAGTATGTTTAAGATACTTTTTATTTTTAAAGAGCATATTTTTCAATTTAAAAGGTATCTATAAATTTAAAGAAAGAAAAAATTTAAGTACTCCGACAAACTCTTTATCTTTAACGCCTAATTTTACTACTCAAAAAATATTTATTATTTTTCATATATTTTAGTTTTACTAGCTTCTAAATTATTATATTATTTTCTTCAATTAAAAATTGAAATACTTTGGAGAGTCAATCTCAATATAATTTTAAACACTAATTTGAAGAGTCTAATTGACTCTTTAAAATATTAAGCATCTTATGTTTAAAGAGTTTTTTGAGGTTCATTAAGATATCGGACTTTAATTTTTGTTTGAAAAGTAATTTTAAAAAAAAAAAAGAAAAAAAACCCTTCTATTTCAAAAGTAATCTTGGAAGAAGTCATGTTAGACTAACTTCTTCTAAAAACTTTTTCAATTAAAATAAATATTTTTATAAAATTAGTCAAATAAGTCCAAAAAATAATTTCTGACTCTAAAAGACTCTTTTTAACTTCTCAAAATTCATGCCAAACAAACCCTTAACGTTACTCAAGCAAGTCATTAACTCAATGAATTTGAATAGATTTTAATGAATTTTAAATCTAAAATTATACATAACGATCTCTTTAGAATTGTTAACATGTTCATAAATATAAATATAAAATTATTTATAAAGTCAATAAAAATAAAAGAAATTATTAGAAATAAAAATAATAAATTAAAAAATAATATAAAATATCCATTTTCATTTTACATTCTTACAGAAAAAAATAAAAATATAGAATTGATTTTTTTTATTAGACTTCGGAATTGAATTTTTTCGAGTAGCTAAGAATAAAAAAATTAATTAGTCAATTAAAACTTTATTCACCAATTAAAAATATCTTTAATCATAAAATATTTAGTGCATACTTTGAACGTAATACTGGCTACTAAAATATTAATAATTTTTTTAGAATGAACTTATTTTTAATATATTGCTATTTATTTGCTTGACGCTTTGTAATTTATAATTTTTCAAATTGAATTTATTTTTTAATTTTTGATTTCTTAGGTTGATGAAATTATTCATCTTAATAAATGACAAAGTTACAATTCTTCTTTGATACAGACACATATTAAAATCTTATGAAATTTAATACAATTGATGGTATAGAATTTTACGAAAATCTTAGAGTGTGTTTGATTACATTTATTTTCCATGAAAAATATTAGTTTTCCACTCAAATTCCTACTTGGAGTGTTTGATTGCTATTTGTTTCCATGAAAAATATTTTCCAACTTTTGATAATATGCCTAATTTTCCTTGTTTTTAAGGAAAATGTTTTTCTTGAGTAGAGGTGGTTTTTATTTTTCACAAAAGATGGAAAAATATTTTCTTTTCTAGGTGATATTTTCCATGTCAATCAAACATACTCTTATAGAAATTGTGCAAATTTGTTGAAATCCATGAAAAAATGTCACACTTTGTCAGAGGATCTAGTATTAGGGACAGTTAGTCACAACAACTTTGTCCAAAGTTGATTTAGAGTTCAATTGGCTTGAGATCTTAGAAAAGAGAGACTGCGCAAGATGCACAAGAGTTGAAGTGAAGATCCCGTACACTAAAGTCGAGTGTCATGGATGCAATTGCATGAAGCTAAATAGCTAATATCCGTGACAATCATTGAGGACGAGGGAGAGCTTGACTTGATATGAGTTTAATAATTGGTCGTAATTACAACAAGTTCGTATATCGAGCAGAGGACATTAGCAACTGTGCTTTCGAAAGATGCATTACGAAGATCTTATCTAAAGAGTTAGGAGGCTTCACACAAAGGTAGACGACAATAATGAAATTGTAAGGTAAGTTTAATTTCTAAATTCTCTAGTCAATGAGAATTTTCTACACTCCATTCATAAAATTGTACAGTAATATATATACATTCTTTAAAATATATTTCTAGCAGTAATGCCATTTCTATGGCTAATTTTGTTGATTACACATGAAAGCAACAGCCTAGATTTTAGCATAGGAGTCTAGCCTTGATTTGTGCAGCCTTGTCTTTAGCTTGATTTGTGCAGCTTACTTTGTTTATTAGTGCTTGATACATTCTAAAATTAATCTTGATTTGAGCCTAAGAATTATCTTCTTTGCCTTTGGCTTGATTTCCTTGATACATCCCCACAAGATGGAGCTGTCATCGGCAAGACCAATGTTATTTCAAAGAATTTATGTACGTTATCGCGACAATAGTTTGGTTAGAAGATCTGCATACTGATCTTGGGTGTTGACATGATGAACATGGATTGTGCCTCGCTGAACCATGTCCCGAATAAAGTGGAAGTCAATTTGGATGTGCTTCATTCGTGAGTGTTGTACTAGATTAAAGCTTAGATATGTTGCGCTAAGATTATTACATAATAGTGTGGGCGGATTCTTGAGTGGAAATCCCAACTCATTGAACAGGGCAAGCAACCACAATGTTTCAGAGACATCATTGGCAAGGGCCCTATATTCGACCTAAGTAGACGAGTGGGCCACCACCCGTTGTTTCTTGGAGTTCCAAGAGATGGGATTGGAGCCAAGGATATTGTTATAAGCAAAGCTAGATGTTCGATCATCAAGATTGCCTCCCCAATTGGTAGCTGAGTATGTGGTGAGAAAGGAGTTTGCATTCTTGCGAAGCTGAATGCTATGAATTTTTTTTTTCTTTAATAGCGAAAGAGTCACTTTGCGGCTGCCCAGCGGGTGACAGTTGGTTTATGCATAAACTAAGACAATTTGTTGACTGCAAATTAGATATACGGGCATGTGATAGATATGTACTGGAGAGCCTCTATTATGAGGCGAAACTTTGTGCTTTCAAATGTAGAAATACCATCAATTAATTTCAAAGCAGTGCTGGTGGACAACGGAGTAGAGATATCCTCAGCAACAAGCATCAATAGCGAAAGAGTCACTTTGCGGCGGCCCAGCGGGTGACAGTTGGTTTATGCATAAACTAAGACAATTTGTTGACTGCAAATTAGATATACGGGCATGTGATAGATATGTACTGGAGAGCCTCTATTATGAGGCGAAATTTTGCGCTTTCAAATGTAGAAATACCATCAATTAATTTCAAAGCAGTGCTGGTGGACAACGGAGTAGAGATATCCTCAGCAACAAGCATATTGGTTTTGAACAACTGACACGGATATATTTGTGCTAAGACAAGAATAAGTCAGCTATGGTAGAGATGACCTCCACACCTAAGAAAAAGTGGAGTTGCCCTATATCTTTGAGAGAAAATTGTGTGCTAAGACTATGAATAAGTGAGGTGACAAACTTCAGATAGCTACTTGTAATCACAAGGTCATCCCCATAGATCGAAAAATAAAATGTAGCAGAACTTTTTCAATAGATAAACAAGGATGAATCCGCTTTCGAATTTTGAAAACCAAGCTCAATTAGGGCATATTTTAAAGCGGAGTACCATGCCCGTAGCACTTGTTTGAGACCGTAAATGGTCTTGCGCAATCTACACACTGTAAGTATTATGCCCTAGGTCCAATCAACTTTGGACATAAATACTTTTATATATAATTAATGCAATTAAATGGCAGATCACACACCCACCAAAAAAAAAAAAAAAAAAAAAAAGGAAATTGTTCACATCAAGTTGTCTTAATAACCACCACCGTATCATGGCAATTGTCAAAATAGTTCTAATTGTAGCTGGTTTCACAACATGACTAAATGTCTCTTTATAATCTAACCAGGGTCGTCGAGTACAATACTTAGCAATAAATTAAGCTTTAAATCTATCGATGGACCCATCCGTCTCTCTTTTAACCTAAAACAACCATTTACAACTCACTGGATTAAAGTTTTTAGGAGATGAAATCAACTCCCATTTACCATGCCCCATAAAGGCAATAAGTTCATCCGACATAGCATTGCACCATTGGGGATCCGATAGTGCTTACTCACACAAGTTGGTTCAACGGTGGGTTGAATAGGACGTTTTGTGTCCGAATAAAATTGTTTGGTTTTGTATACATGGTTCTGGGTTTTTTGTTGTCATCAGGTGGGTTCATCATGGTGGTTAAAAAGGCGATATTGTCTGGTGGCGACATAAGAGAAGGAGGTGTGGTTGGTGTACATGATGAGATGAACTCATAGTGGTGCTAGGCTGTTGAGTTAGTGCAGGATGTATGTAGGGTAGATTGACTTAAATAAGGAGCAGAAAGCATATGAGAATTACCTGGAGATGATGTAGAAGCAGTAGCAACATAGTCCGAAGCCACTGGTGATGGAGGCGGTGGTGAAAGATGCAAAACATCCTGAATAGACGAGTGGCACTTGCTTTGTTTGGTGTGCAACTAGATCGAGCTTTGGCTCTTATTAAATAGAACATGTAACCTGTTGGTCTTAAGATCTAGACATTTATGTACATTTTGTGTTTGAGAATAGCCAAGGAATTAACAGGAAACAGATTTGGGCTGGAGTTTATAGGTATTTTAGGGCATGGGGAACGAAAAGCAAATAAAACCAAAATTTTTTAATTTCAGATGGTTAGGGCATTGGCCAAATAAAGCTTTGTATGGAAATTTGTTCCTTAACAAGGATATGGGTTGATTTATGAGATATGTGGGAGTATGGAAGGCATGAGGGCAATAAGAGAGAAACAATAAGGCATAATGTCGTAAGATGAGACCAGTTTCTACCAAGTGACGGTGATGGCATTGAGAGACCCCATTTTGCTGTGGTGTGGTGGCTAATTCCATGAATTGAGAGATATTATTTTAAGGCAAGTAATTCACCACCATTATCAGAGTAAAGACTTTTTTACTGTGGTTTGGAATCTATTTTCAATAAGTTTTTTGAACTGTGGAAAGATACTAAGAACACTGAATTTGGTGGCCATGGGATAGAATCATACGTATTTGGTAAAGTCATCGATCAAAAAAAGTAGCACCTGGAACCATCAAGACCAATAGAATTAGAGGGCCCCCAAATGTCAGTATAGATAAGATCCAGGGGAGCATGACTTTGAAGACTAGTGGAACGAATTGGTTGTTTATGTGCTTTATTAATTGAACAGAAAGTACATAGATGAGACAATCGCTCTTTTGTTGTTGGAAGTGAAAATGAATTAACTAAATCTTAAACAATTATTATAGATGGATGTTCAAGATGCTTGTGCCACCCATCAATCGAGGTCCTCTCATACGCATTTGCAACCATTTTTTATGAATCCGCTGGTGAGTTCGGGAATAGGTACACAACATTTTCACATATATCTCTGAGTAGGGTCACCCTCGTGATCTGATCCTTCACAAGAAAATAAAAGGGGTGAAATTCAATAAAAACTTTATTTTGAGATGTAAAATGATGGACAGAAATAAAATTTTCGTGGATACTTGGAAAACAAAGTGTTTGATCCAAATGGAAAGTACAATTGGGTGTTTGAAATACCAAAGAACCGACATGGGGGACATGCAAACTTGATTTGTCACCAATTACAACCTCATGTGTCCTGTTATACTCAGAATGGGTGGATAGATTTGCCAAATCGCCAATAATGTTGTGAGATGCCGCAGAACCAATGAGCCATTTATTATCTTTGGTGTGAGAAGCGGAGGCACAATTTATGATAACATTAGAAAGATGCAACCACGAACAAATTATTTTGCAGTGTAACCCAATTGATCACAAAACTGACATTTGGGCTGATAGCGATGTTGGCCCGAATTAAAACGGGCTGTGGAGTTTTGGGTCTTTCAATTATCACGATTGTGGCTATTGTTGGGAATAAGATGGGCTAAAGGTTGAAAGGCCCCATTGTCCTTATAAGAACCACATTGTTGGGACTTCCAACTGAATTATGAAAACTAGAGCGATAATGGGTCTAGTTGGCTGTAGCAACCAACTACTGGGCAGTGACTTCAAGGTCGCACAAGTAACTTTCATGGCCGGTGAGGAGATCGTGAAGTTCCTCAAAGGTTATTGAGTTATCTCTAGCACAAATAGGTGTACGTTCTCAAGAGGTTAAACGAAAGCAATATTTCGCAAGATTTGCAGAAAATCAAGATTGCAAAAAATATTTAAAAAAATGAACACGAAGGATTTTTTGCCACAAAGGCCTGGATGTTCAGCCTTACGGCCTACTCACCACGTTGAACATCTACTAGATAGATTTATCTCTAAATCCACTAGAAAAATCACGAAGAATGTTACAAATGTAAGAAAGAACGCAGTTTCTTCACTGTTTTAATCTCGCCTCACATACAAATTACACACCACCACCAAAACTCGCACTAAGCAGTATCACATAGTTATACACCAAGTGTAGTATCAAAATCACTCAGATTTACAGAAAGAAATTTTCACTCAGAAAATATGGTGATGTGAGAGAGAAAGAAAAACCCTAGAACACTCAAAAAACCCAGAATAGATCTCTATCGAAAATGAATCGTCCAAGAGATATTTTAATCAAGTAAGGCGAACGATTATAGATCAACGGTGAGGAGATGGCCAAATGTATGGTCAGATCACATCTCCAAGAAAAGGCAGAAGTCACACTTCAAGGGAACACGTTTTCTCTTAATAAAATGGACCAAGACCCATTACAATAAACACGGCCCATCAACTCAACTGGGCTAAGAATGTGAGCATATTTATTTGGGCTCAACAATAGGGACGACGATTTCACGGAAGTCGGGACCCAGTCCATGAAGAATGTAAAAGGTGAATCATCATCAGAAATGGGATGATCGACGAGGGCAATCTCGTCTGCAAGGGCATTCACCGTGTGTAGGTAATCGGCATGGATCTATTGTCCCGCTGAATCTAGGTAAGCTTCTCCTTTAGTTTCATTACTCAGGTTGGGGATTTATTTCTAGTAGTAATGTTATTTCTGTGGCTAATTTTGTTGATTACGCGTGAAGGTAGCATCCTTGATTTTAGCACAGGAGTCCAGCCTTGATTTGTGCAGCCTTGTCTTTAGCTAGATTTGTGCAGCTTGCTTTGTTTATTGGTGCTTGATACATTCTAAGATTAGCTTTGATTTGAGCCTAAGAATCATCTTCTTTGTCTTTAGCTTGAGTTAAGGAATTTTCCTTGATAGAAAATTCGAGCCCGTTTGGTTAGGAAATGTATGGTCCGAAGATGACAGCGTCAGTGGTGGCATTGTCGTAATTAACATCTTTCTATCTGTTAGAAAGACCGCGTAACACATATTGAAATCTGTCTTTATTGCTTGGCAATATAATTAACATCTTTCTCTCTATTAGAACATTTTAAATTGTATATGATAAACTTGTGTTTCAATCGCAAAGTAGAAAACCCTAGTTATAATGTGACCCCCCCCCTCAAACTCAATATAGTATAGTGGCAATCAAATTAGGTTTGAAAATTAAATCAATCCAATCAAATGTTCCTCTTCCAAAAATCTAATAATACTTCAAAATTGCTTGTATGTCAACCAAGCCAAACAAAGAACTTAAAGTTGATAAGAATGAAACCTACAAGTATAATGAACAAGGTCAAAATAGGAACCTCAAATGGTTTTAATAGCTAGATAGGCAAAGATAGACCATGTTTAATAGTAGCACTCCGAAAATCAATGGATAGTATTAGCACGACACTTATAGATGAAGGAAATATTGATGAAACAAGAACCCTGACACGCAAGGAGGCTAAAACAACATATATGATGGGAATAAATTTGACGAAAAAATAACATAATAATTCTCGATTTTCTTGAAAATCAACTTTCCAAGAAGGAAGCAACAAGTTTAGCCAACATCTAATAGGATTTGAATCAACCTGAAACCCAAATTCAGATTAACTCAAGAACAAAAAAAGATTTGGTTGGACACAATAAAGAAAAATAATTTGACTAAATGTGGATATTTGGAGAACAAAATCAGATATGTTTAACTCAAAATGAAGTTAAACTCGCAACGATACCATGTTAGAATATTATAAATTTTATATAATAAACTTCTGTATATTACAAAGTGGAAAATCCTATTTATAGGGATATAAATAACTCTAAAAGGAAAGATTGTGTAATAATCACACAATCAACTATTAAGAGAAATAATTCTACACAACTGAAAAAGTATCATAGAGATTATTCTTTACAATCTTTTCATATCTTCAACACTATCATCTGCTATGTTTGTGTAATTGTTTTGTTGAGCATATATAAACTCCTCAAAATTGAGAAACGAATTTAGTTCATTAGAATTGGGAAAAAAAAATGTCCCACCTAAAAATGTAAATCTTATGATTGTTTAATTAGTTTAAAAAGAGTATTAAGACAAAAGCAGAAGTAATTCTCCCATTGAAATTGCTTCTCAAAAATTATACAGAACTGTTGCAAACACTTGCATGGGTTACACATTCACAATTTCCAGCTTAAGAATGTTTCGAATTCAGCAAAAAATCTTATAACTTTAGCAGCACCAGATAAACCTCACAGTCGTATACTACAGATATATAAACTTTCATGTGCAGAATAATTGTACATTAAACCCCTAAAATGAAATAAGATTAGTTCGTGGATCAGTTTGATCCTGTCTGAAGCATATTCACAGCAGAGAGTGCTATTGCAGAGAGCTGAAAAGTATCGCAATTTCTCTTTGTCAATGGAGAAACCACTCCTTTTTTCTCCTTAAATCCATCCTCACACGTCGTAGCATCATTTAGGATCGCGCTTAACTGTACATTAGCATCACCGTAGTGTCTTTCGTAGTAATATTTCATGGCCTGTTTAGCAGAGGAGATTGCATCTGAGAAAAGTTCAAAGCAATCACTCAAACACTGCTTTGTATATGAATCCCATTTATTGTTCTCGATCAAATTCTCGATATAAATCAGTGTATCTGTCACGTTGCTGTGTATTAATCTGATTGAAATCATCCCTAGTTCTTGTAAAGTGGCATTTTGGCTGGCTGGATCTGCCTGAAGGGAAGTTGTGCAGAAATTGTAGTTGATGTTTGGATCATTTTGTCCGAAAGTTTTGCAAGTTTGGTTGATTAAGTTCTGGGCCATCGCGCTATAGGATGTAATCGAGAAGGTAAGAAAGAGCATGGGAACAATGAAGAAGAGAAAGGCCTCATTTTTGCTTGGCTATTATGGTACGTTATGGCTGCTTGTTCTTGCATTATTTCTCACCTTATGACATGGTTTGTATAGCTGTTTTAGTAATGGGTTGGTACATGCAGTTGGGCCCTATTCTTTGATTGGAAATTTTTTCCAAGTTTGTTTGGAAATAACTGTCTTGACTTGGACAACCAAATTAAAGTGTTTGATATACATTTGTAATCTGTCATATAAATCTTTTTTATTTTTCTTTTTCTCAGTTTGTTACATTGTGTACTCATAAACTGATAAACAAGTTATTCTTGTTAATTTAGATAAATATTGAGTTCTCTTCTCAACATATTAAGCTTTTTCAGCTGAGATCATTACTATAGTTTCAAAGAACAGACAAAGAACTCACGGGGTTCAAATCTCAGTTGCCACTCATTGATGAAAATGATGTACATGTGATCAAGAAATGAGTCCAATACTCACCAGCTAAAATAATCTTGATTTAAAATATTCAACACTCTCGCGTTCAACTTCAGATGGTTGTTTTCATTAAACAAGTGGGATAATATCATAGCAAAATATCTAATTTAACTAATTCAATATAATCCTTCAGGCAGATGTAATATTCTTTACAGAGATTATAATTAATTAGTGATTCATAGAATGAATAATTTTTCGTATGCAATTACTTAAAAAATGGAATAGTTTGAGCTTTCTTTGGGAAGAATGGGTGAAATCCTTTGATCCCTTAAAAAGGAAAAAGAAAAAATTTTGTTCGATTACATCCACAAGGGATGAGTAGATAGTCGTCTATTTCTTAAAAATTGTCCAAACATCATGGGTTGTTATAAAAGTGTTATTGTGAAGGTACGTGGTTTTTAGTTCTCCACAAAGGTCGTTTCTTTATCACTATCTGAACTCCCATGCCGTCACCACTTAACGGAATTTGGGCCCCCTCCAATTTCTTGCTTGTACACATCAAACTACATCTCAAGCCCATGTTTAGCGTCCTAAAAGTATGCTTTATTTCTTGGAGAAAGCACTACATATTTCATAACGTGCCTATAAATTTTGTTCGCTCTAATGCACTAAACATGTCCATACTTATCATACAATCCAATAAAAGTGATTTCGAACTTGGTTTACTTACGGAATAAAGTAGCGAATGCCCTTACATAACGTTTTTATCGCAACTTCCTTCATCAAATTAGTGTAACATATGAAGCCCTTATAAAACCTGCGAAGATGGGACAGATCCTTACATTAAAATCTCAAAGCCCTTTTGTAGTTAATTAGCTGGTTCATAAGAAAATACAACTTTCAGGACAATTTAATACTCTCCCAAGGAAGTCTGCCATTCCCACCTCAAATAAGTACATGTAATTATTTTGAATTTTGTCAACAGAATATATTTTTCATGGATCTTCGAACTCGGAAGAGTAATTGAAGCAGTCTAGTTCACGTTGATTACATAACCGAGCAGATTTTAACCCCTTGAAGTTGATAGCAAAGTTCATCTTAGTGCGTGCCACAAATCAATCAAGTCCCTCTTCACCTCCACTGCTATCGCCAAACATTGCAGCCATTTTCATGGCAAGTTTTGCAGCGATTTCCCGTCTCTGGAAATCCGGCATTAACCTCAAACTGCTGCGCATATTCCCAATTTCAGACATCAACATTTCCAGATCCTCAATATCGTAAGTCTTAGACTCATCAAGTTCCGAAGTTCTGTCTGCTTCATGTGTATTGGGTGTTTTGTCCATGTCAAGCTCTTCCTGCAGCTGAGATGATGATGTTGACGGCTTGTACTCTTCTCCTGGCTTGTACTCTTCTCCGACAGATCCAACATCAATCTTGCGATCAAAGTTCTTAGGGTCAAGATTGCTTGCAGATGGTTCCCCAGTCCCTGTGACTGAAGCAGGACCATCTGCAGACATCCATACATCTGTGTCATCCCATGGTTCCGCAGAACCGGTAGATAAGACTTCGTATTCAAGTTCATACTCGGATTCTTCTTCTGATAAATCTGACAAAAAAGGTTATCCAAATATTCGGTTGAAGTATATTAAATCACTGATATAAATAACAATTCAAAGCATGACCATGACAAGGGAAAATTGTAAGACCTTCTTGTTCAGGTAATGTAGGTTCTTTTATCTCATCACCAGACTTCAAGGACATTCCAGGCCACATGTGAGCAGAGAGAGCTCCAAAGAGTCGTTCAACACCCTGTGAATCTCCATCTATGGACAGACCTGCAATGCAAAGTTATTGACAAACCTAAACCGTTTCTAACAGAAGTGCATAAGACCGAAAGATTTATATTCCAGCAAACACGCACTTTAGACAAATTCAAATTGTAAATATGTGTATACAGAATGCCTATAGAAGTTTAAAACTGAAAAACTGAGAATAGAATAATGACAGCGATACTCTCATTGCAAGCATACGTAACAGTGCAATATATCATGATGTGACACTGTCTAAAATTAAAAATATAAAACTGAAAGAGGGATTTGAAAGAAGAAGAGAAAGATGCACCTAATTACTCATGTTGCAAATTAAGGTAATGGATTTAGAGGAGAGGAGAAGATTAGTTGTGATATTGAGCCAGATCGCAGAGCAAGAATACCATTATGAGATTAAGGTCTTACATTTGTCAAAATCAGCATTAGATGCACATGCTTCAATGTATTCAATGTTATGTTCAATGCACCATTCCAAGCAAGACTTGGTAATCTCTGATGATGGTTCTTCATCTCCCAATAAACTACTCCCTTCAGATTCAGAAATCCCATAGTCCGCCATGTCTAGATGAGAACTGCCAGAAGATTCTTCGTGCTTCAGCAGGCATCTCCTGTATTCAGCATGAGCTGGATGATGAGGAAGAAGATCAACTTTGTTACCAATACATAGCAGTATATCGAATTTCCGAATATCAGTTTGCTTCACCCAATCTTTAAGAGCAGCAAACGAAGAGAGCTGTGGACAACGGCATAAAGAAGACGTGTAAAGAAGACGTGTAACGGTACTCTATGTTAAAAACAGTCGAAGAAATGAGATAGAAGTTTCAGAAATTAATCTGCACAAAAGAAGAAGCTAAAGGGCAAGGCTTACATCATTAACATCGAACACCATCACCAAGGCAGATAACTTATCAACCATTGGCAGGCTCGCAATAGAGAACTCGTCGTGAAGATGAGCCATCCAAACCGAAACATCAGCTGTATAGTACTTTGTGTTGATTGTCCACCTGTTTAAGAAACCAGGTCCAAAGATATTGTTAAATGGAGAAAAATCCTCTTAAATAGAGGAGCTAATTATCATTCATTGGATACTTGGTGTGTACTTTGCTGCTTGGAACTTACCCATAGGCAAGTAACTTCGATGATGGATTATGGGCATCTTCAAAATCAATGGGAAACAGTCCTGTATTTAAAATCTTTGAAATGAGTGGTCTGTGTATCAAGAAAATTTTCTACAATTCTACAGAAGCAGAGCTACAAATTCATCACTGTTAAAGCACATAATTAAATGCGTGGAGTATACTTGTGTACCAAAATTAGGTTATGACATTTCAAAATATTACCATGATGTTACATAAAACATTTCATAGTTCATACTATTTAGTAACTCATCACTGTCCAAGCTAGCAGGTTTCATGCTAAGCTTAAAGTTAAAAAAGATTGTCACAAACGAGGATGGATGCAGCCAGAAAAAAGACTGATAATGAAGAGGAACAACCACATATAGTACTAATGAAATGATACGGAACATATCTTCATCATACCATAACTTTTCTAGTTTCTAATTTTTTTTGGGTAAACAAGCCTCAGTTGCTGAGAGAAAAAACCGCATAAAAGATCTATCTGCTATTGCTTTCTCTCCACACTTTGCATTTTGCTCTCTTGATAGGGAACAATCACACCCAAAGAACCCAGGAAACAAGAAGAGAAGGAACTCTAAACAAATGGCACTGGTTTCATCCCCCCCCCCCCCCGGGTTAGAATGTGAAAAATAATTCAATCAACGCTATCTTCAAATGAAAATTGCCATAAAGGATTCAAGACGTAGAATTTCCAAAAATATCAGCTCCAGTTCCTTCATTGTTTTTCCTTAATAAACAACTATAACTTTACCCTTGACTTGAGGGTTATCACCATTAGACCATTATCCACCCGTCATGCCTGTTGTCGAGTCATGACCCAACAAACAATGAATGGCAGAAAAGCAGTCATCCAGATGTTTCACAACCAACAAACATGCCTGAATCACCAGCCTGCTCATGAGCAACTGAGGCACCTCTTTTGATTATTGTTAGTGTCTCCAAATTCCATATTCAAGATTCTGACATAGTACATAATTGGAACTCGAGGAGACATATGAAAGTCTTTGACACTTCAAATGTCTAGATTGTATGAATAGTTTTTATTAATCGAAAAGCCTTTTACCAACAAAGCATATTGAATTTTTCTCCAGTTGGGACTTTGAACCGAGGTCTTTAATTCTCAGGTTCAAAAGCACAAATCTTTGAACTTTTTATCTGTTCTGCTTAAAAATTTCACTAAGAATTTGTCTAAGGCTCTGGGCCTAAGATCTCCACATCTCTTCACATAATCTCCTGCTCCAGTGCAATCTATGTCAGATCATCATATATTTCCCCACTGCTTCCTTTCCTTGTCTACTCATTCACATGATCCAAATTCCCTTTTAATGTTTTTCAATGACTTAACTGCTAGTAATTATTCATTAACTTAGAAACCAGATTAACAGAGGGTATCATATTCTTCGAATGTGTAGTGTTCCTTACTTTAAATCAATCGTGTAAATTCATCCATTAAGAGTTAAAATCATCAATAAATAGAAAGAAAACCAATCTAGAGTAAGAAACTTACGAGAAAGGAGGGTCCGTTTACCAACGCTCTGGGATCCGACCATGATAACTCCAGGTCTCATCCCCAGGGTTTCCATATCCATTTTCACCTCCTCCTGTTCTTATTTTGCTCGAGTGGTTTAGCCTTCGGGTCTTTGAGTCAAGGAAAAGGAAAGGAGGCACCTGTCAAATGCTTTAAGAAGAAATCACTTTCTGGAGTATCCACATCTCGACATTAATAATAAACGCATAAACTGGTGCTTGCTAGTCACTACTGCAAAAGGAGTTGTGCAGCCAGACAAGGCCGGTTTTGTGATTGTCGGGGCCCAAGGCGAAGTCCTTAAATTAGGCCACCCGAGAAAATCAACGTAAATACAAAACTCAACGGTGCATTATGCGACTTATTGTTAACTTAAAACTAACATTAAAACAACAACCATATATATTTTAGAAAAGATTTATATTATAAAATAACAAAACCAACAATATTTCAAATAATTAGTTAAATACTATTCTTTGAATTAATGCAATTTCATTTCGTTTCCTTTTTCTCTTTTGAGCACCAAACTCGTATTTAGGAGGCATAGTGTATGGGTCTATATGTAATGCCCAATGATTAACCTAGATAATAATTACAAAATATCTCATTCATCTCACAATTATAGTTTTCAATATAGTTACTACGTGCACCTGTACAATTGTTCATCCTACAATAACCAATCATAAAAGCCAACCAAGCCGCAATTATATAAGCCGACAAGACTTCATACATTTACCAATCTCTTCAATAATAAGTTAGGATAAGTCATTGCTTACCTGCGAAATAGAATTTCGATGAAAATTGTAGAAATACACCTTTGAGAATTCCACCGTCACAAACTTATGAGCCTGAAATAAGATTTTAACATAAAATACCAATACAAATATGAACATAATCATCAAACTTAGAAAAATAACAATTGCACAGGCACATTTAATCGAACTTAAGGAAATAACACATTTAATAAGAACTAATCACAATTAAAACATTGTCGTCGACAAAATAAATTACTCCAAATTTATCTTGCGTGTTAGGGCAACAAACACACAGAAGCTATTTGCCTATTTACATAAATTTATACCTTCTAAAATTTTTATCTTGAAATGCCTTAGTGAATTAGCAAGGCAAACAACTCAAAAGAAACCACTTATCTACTTCCTATTTCTTCATGGAAAGGAACAATTGTCCAACATTCTTCTAGTCTTTCACTTATATACTTCTTCGATTTCACATAGCCACGACTAATCCACTACCCACTCCTTCCTTTCCTTACGAGTTACGACACGGTAACCATACAAGTAAAGCAACAGTTATTTGCAAATCAAGGCCTCAACTACGTCACTGTTCTGTAACCTTCATAGTCGAGGCACTAACGGACATTTTTGTTAAAATTCCAACGCTTTGTATACCCAAGAAATTAATCTCACTCAAGCAATTCAAATCCAAAGCATTTAAGAGTATAATCACTCACAATTCACAAATTTCCTGTTTTCTTTGTCTTCATCCCAGTAATCTTCCTGCAATTACAGAGTAGTAGAGTACAGACCATCTGCAAAGTGCAAAGATAAAGCTAAAAAACAATATTGTAAGATTTAAAATTTTTCATTTCATGTGACCAACTGTCCAGTGACCATGTCAACAAATCTGTAGGCACTAGGCAGGCATGAGGCACCGAAACGAAAATGGGACAATCCCATTTGGAAAAACATGATAAAGACGAGTTCTTTACTTATTGCTTAATACAATGAAAACCCTTTGGAAAAACATGATTAACAACAAACCTGTTTCCAGATTCCTAATTCTTCGTGTAAATGATGGTGTGTTCTTCCTCAGTGATTGAAGTTTCCTCGTTTGTCCAATCCAGACAACAGTGACGAACCGGCGTCCGGAGCGACCAGCGGCTGACGGGCGGAGTGACCGGAGGGTGACCGGAGTCGCGGAGACGAGACTGAGACCAAACGAGCAGGCCTTCGGATTACGGAATTGGGAATTCCAGATTTGGGAATTTTGGATAAATGGATTGTGTATATATAAGTTGGGTAGGGTGAATGGATTGAGGGGATATGATTTGGGCTTGTATGTTGTGGGCTGCTGTTGGATAATTGGGTCTGGGTTGTCTGGCCTTGTTTTCATATATATATATATATATCTAATCTAATCTAATCTAACTATATTATAAGAGTGGGTTTTGGGTTACTGTTCACAAGTCGATTGGCCATCTAAGTTGAGGCGAGTTGAGTGAGCCATGTTAGCTGAGCCATTTGGAAGAGTGCTGTCAGCTGTGGTTCCAGAACATTCACGTGACCGCAATCATTTTCATTTCTCTTTCTTCTCTGTTTTTTTTTTTTTTTTTTTTTTTTTGTTATAGTTATACAGTTAATGGTCACAAATTCGTAATTATTGGTCACAAGTTTATTTATCGATCACATATCATCGAATTAATTGATTACAGATTATTAAGAGGTCACAAATCAAAAATTTTGGAGGTCGCGGATTATTTCAAGGTCACAAATAAAAAATTTACATGTCACAGATCAAAAAAATTACAACTCACAGAGTCACATATCTTTAAATTTATTGGTCACATATTCTAAATAGTTGGTCACATGTACCAAAAACCCCACCACCGATCCCAGAACAACACTTCACCACGGGTGGTTACGAAATTCCACGACGATTCAATTCGAGCTTCGATTCGACCCTTGGTTTCACTCGACCTCTCTACAATTTCGCCGATGTAAGTTTCTGCTTTCCTTTTTTTTTTTTAATTCAATTTTAAAGACGAAAATACTGATTTCAAGGTGATGATGTTACTTGGCTAAGTGCTTTGTTGGCTAGCCACAAACAGTTGCTTGAATGGGTTGAAAGAAAAGATGTGGCAATCTGATGGTGGAGTGGCAGAGAGCTTGATGGCAGCGCTTCGGAGAGCTTTGGCAGTTCACCGACAAGGAAGCCACTCAAGGAGAAAACAAAAGGGTTAACCTCTGTAAATTTACATGTTTATATTTTGCTTTGCTTATTTTTTTATTTCTATTTGGTTAATTATTCCAATAATTACATTTGGTTAATTATTCCAATAATTTATATTTGTCTAAGTATTTAAAGGTTCAGAATTTGTGTTTGGGACAGAGTTTATAGTTTTATTTCTACGTCTTAGCACCTTTGTTTTGCGAGTGATGCTTTTGGATACATACAATATCAATGATGGATTAGACTTGCCAAAAATGGATTTTCGATAGGCATTGATAAATGATAACTTTGATGAATAAAGTTATCATGAGAGTGACAAAGAGCTTCTAAACCGACAAGATACTTTTACATATCATATTATGACAAGGATTATGACCAGGTCGGACGAGATAATTAGCCCTTTTTTCCCTCTTAGTTTCTACTCCTTAAACTGAAAAGCTTTTTCATATTGTATCTGCATTGTTTGGGCAAGAGACGTGATATTTGAGAATACAACAGAGCAATGAACATTAGGCAGGTAGCCTCTGACCTATCAGTCTTTTATCATTGTAGTTTCAAAGGTTATCAGGATACTCTTCTGGTGCACTCATTGAGGCAATTTTATCGCGATTGCCAAATATACAGTACCATTGATTTCATCTTCGGAGATGCATCAGCAGTTTTTCAAAATCGTGACATCTTTCTAAGAAGGCCAATGGACCGCCAGGCCAACATGATAACTGCACAGGGAAGGGATGATCCAAATGAAAACATGGGAATTTCAATCGTCAATTCTCGGGTGGCACCTACATCTGGTTTTCATGCTGTTAAAGGTTGTTTCAGGAATTATCTAGGGCGGCCGTGGAAGAAATACTCAAGGACTGTTCTTGTAGACGGATTTAGATGGCTTCATTGATAAAAAAGAATGGGGGGGGGGGAGATTTTGCCCTTGCAACAATATATTATGCAGAGTATATGAATACAGGAACTGGGGCTTCAACACAAAATAGAGTAAAATGGCCTGGTTTTCATGTTCTGAAGTATAACCAGTACGACAGTCCCTTTACAGTGAATAATTTCATCCAAGGAGACTGGTGGATTCCATCCATTGGTGTGCCATTTTGGCCTAAAATTTAAATCCCTAGTTAATGTTAGAGAATGTTTGGCCTAGCTACAGTTAAATAACAAAAAGTCATTGCAATTTAGCAATGAAAAACATTGAATTGAAAATATTATGTATAAAAATCCAACACATTCAAAACATTAACTTTGCCTTCAAAATAAACCATTCCATGCACTGCATGGACTGCCCACTAGTATATATAAAAGAAGAAGAGTGGGAAAAATTCATATATAAGGTGTATTATTTACACCAATTTACAAATCGGGTACAAAGTTTAAAAATTCAAAATTCAGTTTTCTGTATAATTAATTAAAAATATTTATTAATTAAATATAATAAAGTCACAGTTATACAGTTAATGGTCACAAATTCGTAATTATTGGTCACAAGTTTATTTATCGATCACATATCATCGAATTAATTGATTACAGATTATTAAGAGGTCACAAATCAAAAATTTTGGAGGTCGCAGATTATTTCAAGGTCACAAATAAAAAATTTACATGTCACAGATCAAAAAAATTACAACCCACAGAGTCACATATCTTTAAATTTATTGGTCACATATTCTAAATAGTTGGTCACATGTACCAAAAACCCCACCACCGATCCCAATCCAGAACCAATCTTGGTCACAAATCACCACCGCGCAATTGTCGCTTGCACCACACCATCAATTGCACCGCGACGCACCAACACCGTCAACAAAACAAACATCAATCCAGCAAAAAAATCACCACCACCATCACCATCAACATCACACCACCAGCAATTCAAATTATGCCTAGTTAACAACCCACTCCACTACGGACACCAATAAAACACCACATCGCCACCCGAAACAACCACCAAAAATACCACCACAACTTGAAACCACCATCACCAACTACAACATCCTCGCCAGCCCGATCGTTACCACAACCATCGCCATTACCTGATAGAATGCTATCTCTCCACCCGAAACAACCACCAACACTTGGAAACATTACCAGAACCACTACCAATACCAATTGTAGCACCTCCGCCAACACCACTGTGGCCAAAACTACCACAACCATCGCCTTCAACACCATCATTTGCAAAACACAAAAGACCACGCCAAAACTCGAATATCCACAACGCAAACCACCCACAACATACCGAATAAAAAAAATTACTAGAGGCAACGACTGCGAGGCATAGCGACGCTCGATCTATATCCAGTATGGGAGGCGATGTTGCGCACGTCAGTAGCAGGGTCTTGAAGTGAGGCGCCGTGGCGCACAAAGATGTTGTCGTAGCAAAGCGCGCTGCACTGCAATACTGCTTCACCATACGAGCGGACACAATCGGTGGTCACGTCATACCGGAGGACAAGCAGCGACGCCAGAATAAAGAGGTGTCAGGTGGGTGAAGAGAAAGGGATAAAGAGGTTCAGAATAATTTAGGGGTAAATAGCGATTTTGAAGGAGACATTCTGGCTTGTGCAAAACCCTCGAGAGGCAGTGAGGTTGCGCCGTCGTGAATTGTTGTCGCCGGTGGCAACGGTGGTGATTTATAGTAGAGATAAGGGAGAGAATATAGATGGTAGAGAGAGAAAGATTAGGGTTGAAATTGAATTTGGGTGAAATATTTAATATTTAAATGATTAAATCACCCGATTTCTGAATAATGTAATTTTGGCCCTTATTTTTGAATTGTAATGTTTAAAGCCCTGATATTATGTAATTTCCACAAAAATTCTAGGTCAAAATTAGGCCCCCGCCGGTCTTGGGCCTCATGCCTCATTGACCTTGCCTCAAGACCAGGCCTGCAACCAGGCACAACATATGTGTGTTTTTGTATCCATGGAGAAAAACAGTTTAATTAGATAGCAAAGTCTAAATACATAATTGATATTTCAATGATGCACCAAAGTGCTCAAAATGTCATTATTAGATATATAAATAAAAATCGAAGGTAATAGGTATAGTTGACTAGTCATAAGATTGCTCAAATTTTCATTTAATCTAAACGCTTGAGGTGATTTCAGCTACGTGATGGTAACTTGATCTTCGTATAAATGGACCTAACTCGTGTGGACAACTCAAAGTACAAATTCATTTTCCCGAAAACCCTTGTTCTCTAGTTTTGGTAACCATCAACATAGCATCAGAACTAGATACCATACCTTCAACCCAAATCCAATTGCATTAAGTAAACCCATCTAATAAATAGATTAACCATGAAAATTCACTTCAAGTGGTATAAAATTGAATCCCTTTTTGGAATTGTGATATATTTTTTTCGAAATATTACAACCACCTAATCGTTAAATCTTAGAAAACGAACCCACATATTGCCAAATCAGTGAAAAATAAAGATGACCACACTATCATATCCACCCAAATTTCTTCGAACTTGTGCGCCAAAAGCCCAAGAAGCTTGGGTACATAAGAATTTCTTCGAATCCCCACCAAGAAAAAATCGAGGAAATCCCAAGATTCCAACTTTTTCATTTACCAAATACATATATTATCAAAAATCAAAGAAATGCAACTACAAATTATGTTCAATCATACATCCAACCTATTCTTAAATTCTCATAGATATTAAAACTCAATCAATACTTAGCTCATCGAGGGTAACGAGTATAGTTCCATTCTTACTACTACAAGCCAATAAATAAAGGCATGGATTCCACACAAGCCCACAAAGACGAAACTACAAACTTGAAAATACCTTTTGAGTCTTTGGCTTAAAAATTCCGAATTGTCGACTTCTCCTCTTCCCCCATTGATGCCAGCCAATTACCGAATGTTTAATGTTTAATTTCGCCCAAAGAGATCATAGAATAGTCGAACATAGTGCGCAAGAGTAGGAATGACAATGGGCCGAGCCGACATGGATTCCACACAAGCCCACAAAGACAAAACTACAAACTTGTAAAATACCTTTTGAGTCTTTGGCTTAAAAATTCCGAATTGTTGACTTCTCCTCTTTCCCCATTGACGCCAGCCAATTACCGAATGTTTAATGTTTAATTTCGCCCAAAAAGATCATAGAATAGTCGAACATAGAGCGCAAGTGTAGGGATGGCAATGGGACGAGCCGAGCCGAGCCCACGAGCCGCTCGCGAGCTCGTGATTTTCTTAATTTCTTTTCTTTTTTTGTGGTAAATTGCACATTTTTGGACAATTTTTTTAAAAAAAATCATATTTGTGGGACATGTGACCACGAGCCGCTCGTGGGATTGAGCCCCTGCTCGGCTCGAGCTTGTCATTTGACGAGCCCGAGCCGCTCGACTCGTTTGACATCTCTACGTAAGGGATCTCAATCAATTGATTCAGAACCAAAATTTGACCCTGTGGGTGGGCTGCACTTTAATATTGTTGGAATCTTTAAAAGTTTTTGGTTTCAACCCAAATCCAATTGCATTAAGTAAACCCATCTAATAAATAGATTAACCATGAAAATTCCCTTCAAGTGGTATAAAATTGAATCCCTTTTTGGAATTGTGATATATTTTTTTCGAAATATTACAACCACCTAATCGTTAAATCTTAGAAAACGAACCCACATATTGCCAAATCAGTGAAAAATAAAGATGACCACACTATCATATCCACCCAAATTTCTTCGAACTTGTGCGCCAAAAGCCCAAGAAGCTTGGGTACATAAGAATTTCTTCGAATCCCCACCAAGAAAAAATCGAGGAAATCCCAAGATTCCAACTTTTTCATTTACCAAATACATATATTATCAAAAATCAAAGAAATGCAACTACAAATTATGTTCAATCATACATCCAACCTATTCTTAAATTCTCATAGATATTAAAACTCAATCAATACTTAGCTCATCGAGGGTAACGAGTATAGTTCCATTCTTACTACTACAAGCCAATAAATAAAGGCATGGATTCCACACAAGCCCACAAAGACGAAACTACAAACTTGAAAATACCTTTTGAGTCTTTGGCTTAAAAATTCCGAATTGTCGACTTCGCCTCTTCCCCCATTGATGCCAGCCAATTACCGAATGTTTAATGTTTAATTTCGCCCAAAGAGATCATAGAATAGTCGAACATAGTGCGCAAGAGTAGGAATGACAATGGGCCGAGCCGACATGGATTCCACACAAGCCCACAAAGACAAAACTACAAACTTGTAAAATACCTTTTGAGTCTTTGGCTTAAAAATTCCGAATTGTTGACTTCTCCTCTTTCCCCATTGACGCCAGCCAATTACCGAATGTTTAATGTTTAATTTCGCCCAAAAAGATCATAGAATAGTCGAACATAGAGCGCAAGTGTAGGGATGGCAATGGGACGAGCCGAGCCGAGCCCACGAGCCGCTCGCGAGCTCGTGATTTTCTTAATTTCTTTTCTTTTTTTGTGGTAAATTGCACATTTTTGGACAATTTTTTTAAAAAAAATCATATTTGTGGGACATGTGACCACGAGCCGCTCGTGGGATTGAGCCCCTGCTCGGCTCGAGCTTGTCATTTGATGAGCCCGAGCCGCTCGGCTCGTTTGACATCTCTACGTAAGGGGTCTCAATCAATTGATTCAGAACCAAAATTTGACCCTGTGGGTGGGCTGCACTTTAATATTGTTGGAATCTTTAAAAGTTTTTGGGCTGGGTGGCTTTGAGCCCAATGCCAAATTTTCGACCGTCTTGAATATTTTTATTTAAGTTATATATTTTCAATTTAAAATCTATTTTAAAAATGGAGGGTATTGAGAATATTTTAATCTCCATCCCATTTCTTGCAAATCCCAAAGATATGGTGGTTGATAATGGCGCCAATTGAATGATAAATAACATTACTAAAAACATGAAGCCTTTTTTGAGCCTTATTTTGGAGGAAAAAAATGAATTTTTGAATAGTGTATTGATGGAAAAATGTGTGATTAAAAAATTTAAAAATTTTGAATTTACGCGTAATATTATTTTATTGAAGAATGTGTGGTTGAAATAATGTCAAAATATTGTAGAAAAATACATTTTTTTTTCTAAATAATGGGACTCAAACAAGCTGGAAAAAGGAAGCATATGACTCTCTCTTTTTCTTTTTTCTTTTTTCCCCTATTAACTTGTCAAACTCTCAATGCTACCATTCTCCTTTATGATGAAGATGTGTCTTGATTATCTTATTAATCATCACCAAACCTTGCGTAAATTTAACTTCTACTCTTCTCATTAATTGCTAGTCACACATTCTCTTCATTTGAAATTCAAGTTATTTGGGATTACATATATTTCGTGAGAAGTAACGCAAGACAAAATCCTGACCTTAAAACTATTATATGACTATTGACTAAATCAAAGAAAAATGTTTTTCATTGTTTTCTTTTCCAATCAAATTGACGGGCTAATTCTCAAGTGAGAATGTGCAATTCTCCTTGTCATTCCATGTTATTATTGAAAGATTGACTTTGATGTCTATCGCATTTACGATCATTCAAATGAAAGTACCGTTTATGAGAAAAAAAATGAAAAAAATGTAAAACAAATGTTCAAACCCACTCAAAAAAAAAAAAAAAGGAAAAAAATTTGTTACAGAAAAGGGAGAACTAGAAAAAGATAGAGAGAATTCCCATGCCTAAAAAAAGGTATCCAATTTCAAATATTACCGGAGGAAAGTTGCACTTTTATGAATTTTTGAGGTTCAAATTGTCAATAAACCAAATTCTAAAACTCCCTTCTTCTCAGTCTCACTCCCTTCCAAAACCCAGCCAGATAAGGAACAAAACCTCGTTCCTCATTTCAATAAAAGGGGAAATCCCCTTTCACCTACCAAACAACCTATTCACTCTGAAAATTGGCTACAAAAATGGCAAACCTAAGAACAGCAATGGATGCTGCATTTTGGGACCTAAATATATCAACCCCACAAGCTCTTGATGGCATTTCCAGGGCGGTGCCTGGGGAACCCATACCATTGGATTTTACCAGGGCTAGTAAAGCCCTAAGAATCCAACAGCTCTCTTTCCTTGGACATGGGTTTCCTTTGGGGATTATCCCATCTTACTCCCCCTCCGCCAATCATAAAGAATTGGGATCTTTTGCCCTCCAGTCTCTTCTGGGCAAGGCCGCCTTCGGCAACTGGTAAAACTCGTAACCCAAAGCACATTTTCAGATTTTTCAAGTGCATATATGTCTAAATATCAGTTATGTTATTATAATTGTTTTTTGGGATATTGGGTTCAGGGAAAAAAACTGTTAAAAATATTAGAGATTTCAGATTAATATAATTGTACATCCCTGTCATGTGTCCTGTGCCCGTGTGGAGGCGTTGGAGCTGCAACTTTTATAGAAAATTTGTGGAATTGAGCTTTCTTCTCTATGTAGATTGCGAGGAAGTAAAAAAAAAAAAAAAAAAAAGAATAGAAACATTACCAGAACCACTACCAATACCAATTGTAGCACCTCCGCCAACACCACTGTGGCCAAAACTACCACAACCATCACCTTCAACACCATCATTTGCAAAACACAAAAGACCACCCCAAAACTCGAATATCCACAACGCAAACCACCCACAACATACCGAATAAAAAAAATTACTAGAGGCAACGACTGCGAGGCATAGCGACGCTCGATCTATATTCAGTATGGGAGGCGATGTTGCGCACGTCAGTAGCAGGGTCTTGAAGTGAGGCACCGTGGCGCACAAAGATGTTGTCGTAGCAAAGCGCGCTGCACTGCAATACTGCTTCACCATACGAGCGGACACAATCGGTGGTCACGTCATACCGGAGGACAAGCAGCGACGCCAGAATAAAGAGGTGTCAGGTGGGTGAAGAGAAAGGGATAAAGAGGTTCAGAATAATTTAGGGGTAAATAGCGATTTTGAAGGAGACATTCTGGCTTGTGCAAAACCCTCGAGAGGCAGTGAGGTTGCGCCGTCGTGAATCGTTGTCGCCGGTGGCAACGGTGGTGATTTATAGTAGAGATAAGGGAGAGAATATAGATGGTAGAGAGAGAAAGATTAGGGTTGAAATTGAATTTGGGTGAAATATTTAATATTTAAATTATTAAATCACCCGATTTCTGAATAATGTAATTTTGGCCCTGATTTTTGAATTGTAATGTTTAAAGCCCTGATATTATGTAATTTCCACAAAAATTCTAGGTCAAAATTAGGCCCCCGCTGGTCTTGGGCCTCATGCCTCATTGACCTTGCCTCAAGACCAGGCCTGCAACCAGGCACAACATATGTGTGTTTTTGTATCCATGGAGAAAAACAGTTTAATTAGATAGCAAAGTCTAAATACATAATTGATATTCCCTAGTTATGCAACTAATGCATGCAGAAGCTTTTGTTGAATCTATTACTGATTCAATTCTACATTATACAGTATTCTGTTTTTGTTTTATGACATTACAAAATGTCTTCATAAATAGATTTTTCCTCATATTTCTCGAATCTTTCATTAGGTCTATTTCCTCTGGCCAAAGACACACCCTCTGAGCAACTTTCTGGGGTTCCTTTGTTAAGTAAACCTTTGCTAAAACATATTTTATCTCTTTATTTTCCAAAATTTGATGAATTACGAACTGTCATATATATATATATATATATATTAGTTGATATCTTCTATATACAAGTTTGCTGCTAGGAGTCCCTAGAGTCGAATCAATAATCAAAAGGAAGTGGAATCGGTGATGGAGTTAGTCTTGTTACCATCACCATCACCGGATCAGTTCGGGTTGTCGCATGACGCCCTCAGAGCCCCCGAGGAGGAAGGGGGGTGACTTGAAGGGTATTCCACCTAAGGTTCTTTTTTCTTTACTGGAGTTGCCTGACCGCGAGGAAGGCCCTAGACGAGTGATTGACTTGTTGCCTGGTAGGCCGAGAGTAATACACTGTTACAAGAAGGGCTAAATGACTTTGAATCCGCCCGTGCCAAAGATATATAAGAGGTGTCTTGTGAAATAAGAACTCCCATAGTTAAACCATTGCCGGAGAAAGAAATAAGATGAGTAGTAATCCAGGAAGAAGGACATCCCCTGAAGTGAAGAAAAGTCTGTAAAAGTTTGTGGATCCCTGCATGAAAACTTCTGTCAAATCATTTCAAATCTCATTTTTGCTGAGGACATCCCACCACCTGATCCAAGATACCTGTTGTAAAAACTGTCATGTATATATTAGTTTGATATCTGCTATAATTTTTTCTATGCTAATACTTTTTGCTCAGTTATGTTAAAAATAAATGCATCTCACCTTCCATTTGTATATATAAATGTTAATGTACTAATCTATGAGGGTGGCTTTCATTGTGTAGGTGGCTTGGATTAATTGGACAATTTCGTCCCAAGAAGTTAATATCTTCTATCAGCGCAGAGATACGCGGTGCAGATGAATGGGAGCTGCCTTTAGTTAAAGATGTAGCAAAGCATTTCCTAGACAAATCACTTTATGCACTTGGCCTATGCTCTCAAATATCGTTAACATCATCATCATCCTTACTGTTGAGCACTGAAAAACACGGTGAGAGGAAGGGCCGCCGCACCAGAGCTATGCTTCTACACAAGGCAAGATCTTGACTGCTAGTTTCTTCCAGTCATATTATAATAGGGGAATCCAAATCCAAACTTTTGTAGGAACCTTATCTAGAAAAAGATAATAAAACTAATCACAAGTGAACAAACATAAAAATAGTGGCAAAACTAACACATGCTGTTGCTTTCAAGTATGAAAGCATTCAGCAACTATTGTCTTTAAACTAGTCTTATTACTTTCCCTTCCTTCAGAGTTGATTCTTAAGAGAAGCGTATAAATACATTTAGGCACGTTCTTTTCCTATGAACTTAGCATTCAGTTTCTTTTGTCACTGTGAGAGGTAAAAATGTAAGCATTTATGCTTCTCTCATTTTCATGAGTACAGGAGCATGTTTTGTGATCTAATTTAAAATAAAAAAAAAAAAAAAAAAAAATTTTCCAATCAGTATCCTTAGACTGTTCATCCCTTGTTTCTGAATCTGGATTGCGATATCGTTTTGGAATCCATAGAAATAGTTGTCCTCCTCATGCTGTTGATTCCTCTGATAGCGAGACACCACTTACTTTAATGCCTGGGGTGTGTGTCAAAGCCGCCTTTTCTTATGAAAAGAACAAAGACCTGTGGAGGCAAAAGGAAAAAAAAGAGGATGTCATAATAGAGACAGACCAGGGCCGATTTTGGCGACCTTCATATGATATTCGTCTCAGAGAGCCTCATGCAGCGGTATCTGGAATTATAGGTAATTTCGACGTTTCTCAGAATTCTCTTATTGTTAATTCATGTGTTCTATATTTAATCTATCTGTATGAATGCAATTTAGTTGGCTTTTGTATGTTGAATTTGCAAGGTGTCGAGTCCAATGCTGCTGAATTTTTATCTTGGCTTCCAACATCGGGAATATGACTTTGCTGTTGTTGGATGCTCTTTTTATCTGCATAATCCTTTAGTTTAGATATTTTTGGGGAATGGCCTGCGATCTTCTTATACAATTGGGGCAACTGATTCATTTTAGAAACAAGAATGATCAATTTTGAGATGTTGGGGGGTTTTTGTATGAACTGTGTTGATAGTATATATATTTTGAGCCTGTTGATACTTTCCTTAGGATATTTGAAAATGATCCTACTCTGGCTTCTGAATTTTCAAGAAATTATTTCCTAGAGATGTGCCCTTGGATTCTTGTTTTTAGAATATATATTTGAGAAAATTGCAGCAGCAGTTTGTAACCTGTCCAATTTTTGTAGATTTTACCCTAACATTCAGTTTGTGCCAACAAAGATTCCTAACCTTTCAAAACTATGCACTTTAGATCTAAATGGATGGGACCGTTAGTTGACCAATAGTCAAAAGATTGACCTAATTTTGATCAATTTTAAAAGGTTAAAATAGTAAAATTATATTTTATATAATAAAATAATAAAATTTAAAATTTAAAAACCAAAACCTTAATAAAAGATCATCTTCTCCACGCCACCCCAAAAACCAAACCCAATAGAGAAACGGCTCCGCCATCGATACCATTGCTCAAATCGTCGGACTTACACATTATCGGAAAGCCCGACCCTAACTCCGACGGAACAAGCCAAAATGACGCAGCAACAACAGCTGCTCGCACAACCTAAAACTGTCGGCAACTCACTTTCCGGCCACTCTCAACCTAAGACCAACATACTGGTAGATTCCCCTCATCATGGCGCATCTACTCATGGCCACCAAACACCTACTCTACCACCCAATCAGCAATTGCAGACAAAACTCGCGCACGCAATCAACACGCAGATTTTAGATGCAGATTCCAACGGCGGTGGTCTATCCCATGATCGTGGACCACCCCTGTCAGTATCCTCTCATCATGGCCAAGCTATTCCGCCCATGGGTTTTCATCAATTTTGTACGAATCATGCAATTGATTCCAGAGCAGTTCGAACGTAAACAGGCTTAGATTCCCTTCCAATTGAGGCTTCAAAACTGATTCAATCTTCGAATCAACATGGGGGAATGATTACTGAATGCCAAACGACCATGGGAATACCTTCAATTCAGCTAATTCAACGTCCGAGCTCGAGCGCATATATTGAGCATATTCAATCTGGACAAACAATCAATGCACTTTTTTGGTGTGTGGATTCTATGATGGTGGTGTTAAGGTTTTGGTATGGTATTTGATGATGGTTGTGCCGGCGAAGGGGAGACTGTGGTGACACCACCGTCGGTGAAGGGGAGGCTGTGTTGGGGATGGTTGCCGACTGGTGGACATGCTAATGGTTTTTTTTTTTTTTTTTTCCTTTTTTCTTTTTCCTTTTTAGTTTACTTTGTTTGTTCTATTTTTGGTTTTTAAATTATTTTATTTTATGTATAAAATAATAAAATTACCATTTTACCCATTTCAATTTAGTCAAAATTAGTTGAAGTCCACTTTTGTTAGTCAACTAACAGTCATCCATCATTTGGAACCCAGCTGCATATTTTTGAAAGGTTAGGGACTTTCTTTGGCACAAATTGAAGGTATGGGTAAAGTCTACAAAAATTGGAAAGGTTAGAGATCGTTGCTGCAATTTTCGCTATATATTTTTGCTCAAAGTTTGATTATCTCTGAAACTATAAGGCTTTTTCGAATGGTGACAATTGAATATCCTGTAAGTATCTTTTATCTATTGTTTGTTTGGATTGTAATTCGTGGGCACACGTTTTCCTACTACCTGGTCGTATTGTGATGATTTTTCCTACTTTTATCATGTTATATTCTGTTGCCCCTTTTTACATATCTAGGGGGTACTTGTGCGGCATGGTTTGGAGGTGGAAAACATTTGCCCGCCGTTGAGTCAACGGAAGGCGCAGACAGCATTTCTTCAGGTGCTAAGAGTAGAAGTTGTTTTGGGGTCGATTTATTTGGCTCAGCTTGCTACACTTTTCAACATGGAAAGTTCAGAGAGCTGTTTGGAGACCTCACCAGAGTAGACGCTCGCCTGGATATTTCTTCAGCTTCAACTTTAGCCAAAAAAGTTTCAAACCTTTTCCGCAGTGCATCGAATAATGGTGCACCAAATTTACTGTCTTCTATTGGACTTAATTTGATATTTCAGCAGCAGGTAAGCTATATTTTTCTGCATTCTTCTATTATAACATAACATTTTTACACCCTTAAGATTATTAGAAACTCGTATTAGGGAGTTGGTACTGTTTTCAGTTCTATAAATTGACTGGAGAGGAGAGATTGGTTTTACAAAGTCGGCCATATTGTAGAAAATAATTAATTGATGTGATAAATATGAATGCGGAAAATTGTTGTAAAATAGATGATGCTGTATCCTCTGGGATAAAGTAAGGTTGTTTGTAATTTTGCAGGTTGCTGGCCCCATTGTTTTTCGAGTAGATTCCAAGTTTTCGCTCGATTCATCTTCCGGAAGGCACGGCCCACAACTGGAAGATCTGGTATACAGCTTGAATTACTCTTTAAGGCTCCTAAGGTCTGGGAAGGTGGTCGCATGGTATTCTCCGAAGAGGAAAGAAGGGATGATTGAGCTACGACTGTTTGAATTCTAACTCTTGCCTCTAAATCTTTACGTAGTTTAGGGCAGTTTTAGATTTTAAATACCATTCGTGTTACTGTCTTGTGGTGGGAAACTTATTCTGGCTAGTGTCTCACTTCCACATACTTTGAGTGGTGGTCTATATTCACATACATCTTTCTATCGTGGTTTATTTTTCATTTACAATTTACAAAATCTCTCAGCATCATCGTTCAACATAAAAGTTGTGGCAGTTAGCTGTTTAAAATTGGGCATATCACTTTATTGTACTAGTCTTTGTACAGATATATAATTTAGGAATTTCTATTGGCTAAAAATGGGTTTTGCTTAACCAGGAATTTGATGCTCCTGGTTTTAGACAACAAGGTAGATGGGACAATGGATGTGATAACGTTTTGGTAAGTTTTAAAATGATGAGTCAGAGTGACTGAGTGGTATGGTAATTTGGAGAGGTTTTAAAGTTTCATGACGATTGAGAAATATTTTAGAAAGTTTAATGGAAACTTGGAGATATTTTAAATTCAATGCATTTGGGATACATTTTGCAAAAGTTCAGTGGTAATTGAAATATTCCAATTACGAGCCCCATGGACTGGCTCATGAGAAATTCGACTGCAAGTTGAGATGAGCCTCCCTTCTAATTTGGTGAACCGACTTGCGTGCTCAGTTCGTGGAGGCCCGTGTGGCTTGCCTACATTAATTCAAAATTTTATTATTATTATTATTTTTAAATTTCAAAATTTCATCTATAGAAAAATGCTCACGAGCTAAACCAAGCTCGACTCATAGGAAATGAGACAACTCAGGCTCAGCTCCAAGCCTAGAAGGAGGGCTCATAAGCTGGCTTAATGGAGTTCGTTGCCGTCCCTAATTTAGTCAAACGAATGGCCTAAGACCTTGTTTAAGAGCCATTTCTTTATTTTTGAAATTTACGTGCGCATATATATATATCAAACACCACCTAATGAATGCAAATTATATTCATTCTCGTGACATTAACGGCAATTTAAATGCATGCATCAAAACACAAATTTATTATTTAATTCAATTTAGTCGTTATTTTACTTGTCAGTTACAATTTTTTTTTATGACCATGGGTGTCCGGGTCAGCTTATACGCACCTCGACTGATCCCACAGAGCCTTAAAGTTTACAGTCGGATACTCACCTTAGTGGCCTTGAGGGGACTCGAACTGGTGACTGATCACTTCTCAGTTGCAATTTGAATTTAATTTTCACACTTTGAATTCAATTTGTGAGTTATTTACCTAATAATATTAACTGAAATGATTGTGATGGACAGACAGTTGCATTCTTGAAGTCTAGATTATATCGAGGTTATTATAACTAGGATATGCTTTTTAGCCTACAAAATATCCAAGTTTCGATAAGATAGAACAACTAGGCATAATTCCTCAAATTTAGTTTCATTTGACTTGTCCAAATTATAATTGAGAGTGCTTAGATGGTCGGAGTGGAATTTATACATGAAATAGTGAAAATATCCAATAATTTCGATTTGAAATCTTCTAATATTAACTCGTGTATTTTTTATTACAGTGAAGGAGATTATTGTATATTACTCATGTTTATTTTTTATTACAGTGAAGGAGATCATTATTTTTAATATTGTACGAAGAATTTGAAATGAACAATATTATTTAGACGGGACAATTTCTTTTTTCCTTTTAATTTCTAGGTTAGCTAAATTCTGTCACAGAAATAAAGAAATTCCAGTCATCCTTCTGGTCACCTTATTCAACATATCACAAAAGTTTGTTAGACGAATTTCTGTTTAGTTTTGCTCAAAATTTACTAAAGACAAATTGAAAAAGCTCTTGCTTTATTTTGTTGGTTAAACTATTCTCTCTCTTTATTCAATTATTAACACTAGTCTATGTTACGTGCGATGCACGAGCTGTGTATGAATTATGGTTTGGTTAGCGTATGTATTGAATATGTTCGAAAATTTATCGGAAGATGAAATTATTGGCAAGGAACTAACTAGCAAATAATTGAGATAATAGTATACATATTGATGTGTTTGATTGTGATTTGTAAATTTGTAAATTCATCGTAGTTAATCATGTGTTTGTAGTACAGTCAATGATAGATAAGAGAGAATAAAAATTAACTTCATTACCGTCGTTAATTACAGAGTATAGCCAAGACAAAATAAATAATGACTGGTTTTCGAGATGAATGATGTAGGGATTACATATACATCATTTGTCATTACTTTTTTTGTTTGGCAGCTTTTGATCAGGAAATTATACATACTTAACAAAATAGAATTTCAAGATCACATTTACAATGAAGACAAATTTCAGAAAACAAAATAACAAAAATTTCACAAAATCACACAGCATACTCTTGTCAAAAGGTTGGTTTTATAAAAAATATTTTGACTACCATTTAATCCAGTTTTTCTTTGTGAGCAAATGAATTTGTGTCTGAACTTATGTTTTCATCACAAGCCACTTTTGAGCTGGAACTCTCATTGGAAGATTTGAAATGGGCTTTTTTCGCTGGAGGTGACCAATTTTCTTGATAGTCTGTACTAACGTTTTTTCCAACTGTTGTAACCACAACCTCACTGTCAACGTTTGCTTAGATTTTTGGTTCAAGACTTGTATGATCAATATTTGCTTAGATTCCTTGTCCTGGACTTGGATGGTCTAAGTCTGTTACAAAGATGATATCAAATCTGTAATTTGATGAATTAGGTTCATTTTGTGATGCTTTTAAGTAGAAAGCTCGTTCAATATTTTGCATTTTTTTAATGGTTGCTTCGAAATTTGTCTTTGAACCCTGTGTTAATTTTAAATTATATTAATATTGTTCTACTAAAATATGTATTGAATAGCAAAATGTTTGAGGTAAGTTGGATTTCTTACAAATTTGGTTTCCTCCATCAAAGACTGTGAAGTTGTAAATAATAGTTTCTCAACTAGTTCACCAATTGCATTTGCACTTATTGATCCCGTGACATCTGAAAGCTGCACATATGCTCTAGCTCTAAAGTGAAAAAGAAATTAGTATTAAAAGATGCAAGAGTAATAAACAGAAGTAGAAAGGTCATGCATAAGTAAATATTTTACCTTCACCAAATGAAGTAAAAAAATGAAAATTAATTAATTGTTAGTGTGTTTTATCGAGAAATAGCTTTGGAATTGAGACTCTTGCAAAAAATACAAAGATATGTTTCTCCAAAATCAATATTCAATCGTCTAAAACAGTTGTTGTAGGCCATGTACCAAAATTTGCTATCAATTTTGTCTGTTGTTGCTGTTGCTGTGCCGTTTACCCAATAGAACTTTCGTTGTTACCAGTATGGATATACTTAGAGAAATTACAAGGAAAAATAAATAATATGATTGAGTATATCTTGTAATATATATCTCTATATTAGGAAATAAATACAGATTGAATAGCATACTTAACCTTAATATTACCGCTAGAAGGCATCCCTGAAGATTTTGAATATGAGTGAATTTACTTCGTACAGGTGGAGAAAGATTTGTAGGGCTTTCGTCCATGTATGATTTTTTCAATACAAAATCATCTATTTTAATGGAATTTGTTCTTACCCTAATCTAAAGACGTGAAGATAATTAGTAACTCCAATAGTAATGTGTGGAAAAATAATCGAGAGGGAAAAAAAAGAATAATAAAATATAG